AGAATTTGGAAATTTATACTTTATACATGTTTCAAAGAATCTGGATTCAACAAGTAGACTCAAAATGAAGAAGCTACATATGAGTAAATATTAAGAACTTGAAAGAGTTGGTCAAAGGTAGAACCGACTGTATTAGGAAGAAAAGAGAATTGTTCAAGTATAGAACAAAACAGATTCAAGAAGGCAAGCAGGTTTATTTCTTTTATCTATAAGCTTCCAAAAAATCTATAATTATAGGGACCTAGAGGAGAAGAAAGTTAAGCTACCAGAGACAAAGTTAAATATTTGGCTTCATCGTACTTCATGACCAACATGTTTCATACCGACATTATAGCTGATGAGTTTGAAACAGTCCTGTGTGTGGAGGCTGAGTGTTCTAAACCAATAGTTAGCTGATCAGCAGTCTTCTTAAAATCCTGAGAACAATTGTTTATCCTAAAAAAAATCAAGTACATTATTTTAAATACCTACATTAATACAATGATTTTCGTCTATTCTGATCGTCTATTCAGATTTTTACCCTCTCTCAAAATAATCCATATATGACTTAAAGAACATGTTTTCAATTATCTATAAGCAACAGAAACCATGAGAAAATATGCTTTCATTTAAGCTTAATTTTAATAAAAATTCAACTTCTTAACAAATTCTTAAAAATAATGGCTTAAAGTGTATATTTTGCTTTAATTTCTTAAATACTGCTCCTTACCTGGTATTTTCTGGTACAGGTGTTGATATCACTGAAATATTTTAAGCTCATCAATTAAAGTAAGTACTTACAAACACAAATGCCAGCTATTAAAAATGTACTTATATGTCTGGACGATTTACAAAAAGATAATGAATTTAACTAAGCAAAGAAAAAGTCAGTAGCATTTTCTTGTCTATAGAAACCAGAGTTTTATTATTGGCCAGGTGTGGTGGCTCACGCCTGTAATCCTAGCACTCTGGGAGGCCAAGGCGGGAGGATCACTTGAAGTCAGGAGTTAGTTTGAAAACAGAGTTTCACCTATATTTATCTTTATATCACCATATTGGCTATCACACAGTAAGCACTTACTGTTTGCTGAGTAAGTTAAGCCTACAGTTGATGGAAGAAACTATGATGTTTAAATATGTTACTCTTATAGAGAAAAATACAAGACCAAATAAATTTAAAACATTCTATTAAAACATTCACTTTGAAACATTCACTATAAAACATTCACTTTGAAAAGTGAATATTCATGCTCTTGAAAACATGTATGAGCAAGTTGGCCCTGAGGAGTCCATTACTGAACAGGAGTTTCAAAATATTAAAGATAAATCAGTAAAGAAATACACTGAGTCAAGGGATACTACAATTTAAAAACATAACCATTTAAACCAAACAGTCTTTAGAGAATAGCAGTTTCTAACATAAATATAACTGAGAGGAAGAATTTAATTAAAAAATGGTAATTTGGAATAAATTTGAGTATTTTCTGCTTAAGACAGATTCATCTACCTCTGAAAGTGAAATTTCACTTTGCAGTCTTAAGAGATATTTTACACATCAACAAGGGTAAACAGACTGGTTTGACTTGTATGATATATTAAAAGTCAGAAAATTTCATGTGGAAGTACAGATCTCTACTTTGCCTTGGGGAGAAAAAAAGATCTGGCAACACTGGATTGGTCTTAACACATAGCAGTAATTGGCAAGAGCTGAGTAGCAGCCGCCTCCTTTGGAGGGGTGAGCCCTCTTTATCTGCCACAATCCTTGCCGCTCATTCTTTAAACTCAGCCCACCTCGCCCAGCAAGGCATCTGCTTCACTCCTGTAGGTGTTCAAACTTGGGAGTTCTAAATTTGATAAACATAGCTACTCCATGAGGACTCACATGCCAGAAGAATTCCTAAAGATTCATTCTATTTTTATTTATTTATTTTAGTTTTTGAGACTGGGTCTTACTTTGTTGCCCGGGCTAGAGTACAGTGGCATCCTCAAGCTCACTGCAACCTCAAACTCCTGGGCTCCTCAGCCTCCCAAGTAGCCGTGGCTACAGGCGTGTACCGCCACACCTGGCTAATTTTTTTTTGTAGAGATGGGGTCTCACTGTTGCTCAGGCTGGTCTCAAACCCCAGACCTCAAGTTATCCTCCCACGACAGCCTCCCAGAGTGCTAGGATTACAGGCATGAGCCACCACACCCGGCCTGTAAAGATTTATTCTAATTACTCTACGGAGCTCATAGAGGAAGTGACTGGTGTAACACACTTAAAGGAACTGGGAGAAGTACTGACATTCACTGAGCCCAGGTTCACACTCTGGTTCTGTCGACAACCAGCTCCCAGACTTTAGATAAGTGGTTTTACTACCCAAAGAAATAACTACAACCATTCTTTTGGGGTTTTTTTTAGCACTCATTTAAGTCTGGAAAGAGAAACTACAGCAGTAATATGAAGAACCAAGAATTCTAGACTACAGAATTTTAAATGTTACTTGAATAGGAAATGAATAACCACAGAGTTAGGGAAGAGTCAGGAAGGGATAAGGAGCTAAAGAGGACATGAGCTAGGGAAGCAGAAATGGAAGACAGGTTGTGGGTAAGGATAGTGTGGAAGTTAGATTCTGTATGAGGTAAAATGAATGCAACATGAGGAACTGAGGTGATTCATAGATATTTGGTGCCATTAACAAAATTGGAAAGCTCCAAATGAGGTTGTTCTTTGAGGATATCTTATGTTTCTTGTTACTTCTTGCATAGTCTACTACCATATTAAATATGCTTTGAAAAGTTAAAGGTTAGACAGAAACTTAATTACCATCTGAGTAAGGTCCCAATAAATTGATCAGAAGATTTTTTAACACTTAAAAAGTTGCAAATGGTCAAACTTCACCATTTTTTCAATCATGATCCATCCAATAGCCAACTATAAATGTAAACTTAGCTAGGACTGAAAAATGACTTTAGAAAAACTATAGCAAATGTCAAAATATTATGGTTCTTCATCTAACAGGCATTACATGTTTACTCTGCATCCCACACCAGAGACACAGAGGAATAAAATGTAGTCCATGCCCTCAAAGGGGTTTATAGACTAGCAGGGAAAGATACATAGAAATAAGTGTAACGAAAAGTACATAGGTGCTCATCTCTAGCTGGGGTGTGTTTGAAAATATCTCTATAATGGCCAGACACAGTGGTTCATGCCTGTAGTCCCAGCTACTTGGGAGGCCGAAGCAGGAGGATTGTTTGAGTCCAGGAGTTGGAGGCTGTAGTGAGCTATGATCACACCACTATACTCCAGCCTGGGTGACAGAGTGAGACCCTGTCTC